AGCAATTTTCGCTTGTTGAACAGTCAAAATGATGTCATGGGTCTATTCCTCTTTCGTTTTGCTGTTCTATATTTATTCAATGGAAATTCCTTTCTTTTTCTTCTTTTTACAAATAAAGCTTAGAACAAAGACGGATGGGTGGAAAAACCAGACTCTAAGTCAAAATTTGTAAGTACTTTCGCTGATCTCATCCCTTCCAAATTGCAATGAAAGGTTTAATAAAACAGCGATACAATAGCAGCTGCGTCTTGCTGTTAATTTTGCTGAGAACCTCGTGAGGTTCTAAGACACACCATCGGTCAGCTGTATGCGCCAGTAGTGTGTCAAGAGAACTCATCCTGAAATAATTCCGCAGAACTGTAACAGAAGGAAAGTGCAGTTTGTATACCCAAATCTTCAGAGCTTTAACAACCGAAATTTGACTCTTTTTCCCACGCGCAACCAGTCAAGTGACATATTTTCGCCCCGTCAAAAAATAGTGATTAACGTCATTCATGCACAACCCCAAGGCGGACAGGTCAGTTTTTTTCGCCTTTTAGTTTTTGTACCTTTCTTTGTGTCAGATTTTCATTAGAGGTTTAAACTTGATTTTTACTCTGACAAGCAGTATAAGATGTTGTATCCGTTTTCAGTATGCCACACAAGCCATAGAAAATATCCAAACCGTAGAGTTTCTGCATTTTCACTCGACCTATGTCCAATGAAAGAACAACTATAGAACATGTTCTTTGAATTTGTGTTATTTGTTATTTGAATAAAACTTGGCTACATTGGTAGAAAGACCTTATTTATCCGAAGAAAAGACGAAAAAAACTTCCGTTGCGCGAATTAAACTCTGCTTTTTTTCCAGTGATACACGTTTTCCAAGCAGATATACTTTACTTGGAGTAGTCTAGCGTAAACGTTTTCCCAGTTTTGGCCTTTTGGCTGGGAACGTCATTTTTTTGGAGTCTAAGTAAAACAGCTAGGATTTATGGAGCTCGAGCTGACATTTTTATTTCAGCGAATTGAGCTCAAAAAAATATATTCTTCTTTGTTTGCTTGCTCTTGCTACGAAAACTTTTACGGAAAATTGCACATTCTCGAAAGACTTTCTAAATTCGCTGCTGCCTTATCGTGAACCTTATCCCGTTTGGGAATGTTCCGTCGCCTCTACTAATTTCGTTTGCCTGGCGAGTTCACAAACTCTCTGTTGAGTACGCTGAATGTTCTCCTAAAGGTTTTATTCCATTTGAAATAGTAATTATTTTAAAAAGCAACAGAACGGAATATTATAGAAAACAGACAAGTTGAAGAAACAAATATAATGATTATGGAGAATATTTTGGCCGTACTTGATGCCTCACATGTGTTGCCTGTTCAAATGCATGAGCTAATCTAAATAAAGTACCTTCACTTCATGCGCGGCCAGTGAATAACAAACCATAGGGCGTTCCCGCAATTGTTTTATTTATTCCATTATTCTCAGTCAAATAACCTAACGGTACTGACATTATTGGATATCCAGCAATTGCTGCTGCTGAGGGCGCTGAATCGCCAGTCATAATTAATGCATCCAAATTATATTTTTCTAAAGTACGATCAATACCTTGTGTTCTTCCCAATCTTAAACAAGTAGCTAGAGCAGCTTGATATTCTAAACTATTGTATCCCGTTGTATTTTGAGCATCTGAAGAAATGAAAAATACTGTAGTAGGAAAGAAGAAAAGAATTTTGCAGATCATTACCTTCGAACACAATTTGATCAGGCATATATTCTGAAAACTCTAATGCTTTATGTTTATTATTATAGTGAATTAAATTGGCAAGTGTTCGTAATTTTGTATGATGTAATTCACTTAAATAATTGGCTATATTTTGTTTGAATTCTGTTAGTTCAACCAAGTATTCAGCATCACCCTGTTGGATTTCATCAATACTCTCAATGTCAGCTGGATTATGTATATGTGCACCATAGTATTTCAATTTAATAGCATCATTAGCGGAATCAATCTGTTCTTGTGAAATATTGCCATAAATATTTCCATATCTATAATTGTAAAATATACCACGACGAACTACACCTAAAAGCATATGTTTAAAACCTTTTGTACCTATATGAGACAGAGGAAATCAAAGTCAGGTCCATGAGCAACAGGATGCAGAGTAAATCCAATCCCGAGAAGCGAATAGCGCACGCATCACTATGGTTTCAAAACATATTTGCGATCTATTGAGCAAAAGTCTGTGAATACTTGTTCTACATTGGCTTGACTGGACACACAGCAGGACATCTTTTATTGAAAAAACTTCCATCCGGTCTTCTTTGTTCTATTTAAAAGTTCTAAATGTTGACTCCGGTTTTTATAAAAAGTACTTCCAAAAATCTTTTTCCACATTTAATGGGGCTGTTCTAACCAAAAGCAATTATTTTTCCTCGAGCGATGCGATATGCATAGAGAATTAATTCGGATGAACAGTTCACTTTTGCCATCAGAAGACCTACCCATGAAAAATTGAGTATAATTGTGAGGTCGAACAGCATCCAGATCAAGTGTAGCTTTATCACGCGGATCAATACCTATCGTAAAAAGATGACACATATGGACGGACAGACATTACAATTATTTCAAGTGTTACCTTGAATTGCTTCCAATACTAAGGCAACGTCTCTCACCGTTTTACCTATGGGACCAATAGAATCAAATGAATGGGAAATAGGAATAACACCTGCACGTGATGTCGAACCGACAGTTGGTTTTAGTCCAACGACTGAGGCATAACCGGATGGACACATAATCCCACCATCTGTTTCTTCTCCAAGTGTAGCGGCACACAATCCAACGGATGTTGTTACGGCATATCCAGAGCTGGAACCACATGGATCTTCATTTTCTACATAAGCGGACGATCCTGCGCCATCACGCGGAGACCATCCGTTTCGTGTTACATTAAATGAGCGAAAGTTCGACTAGAAAAGAACTGTATTTGAAATCACACGTAGATTAATGTGAGTTCTACCTTTTATAATAAAATCCGTTCTAGACATTCTGACGCGTGTTCGCAAGTGGAACCTTTTTACGAAAATATTAACGCGAAAAATTCACGCGCGGTCACTACACGTTTTTCGAGTTTCATTATTGGTCAGAAACGTCGCACATATGTTTTCATGAACTGTTCACGTCTAGTCACAGGCAGATAGCTTTTTCATGCGTGGTCACATATCTTTTCACTTGTGACGACGTGCGAAGAATCTCGTGCACGGTTCACGACTGATCCCAAGCGGGTTATTTTTTCATACGTGCCAACACATCATTTACGATATTCACCCATATTCTCCATGGATAGTCGAAAGCACTTGATATTTTTGGGATATCCTGTCTTCATAAATCCAGTTTCATAAATCACATATTTATGAAACTTGGAAAGAAGTTTCATAAAATTTAGCAAACTTGGATGTTGATTTTTTTAACCCACAACTTACATAAAAATGAAAAATTTTATGAAACTTGTAAAAAGTTTCATAAAAAGCTTATCATGGTTCTCAGAGAAAAATTTTCTTAATTAATCAGCACATGTCTCCGAGAGACCCGTGGTTGTTAATTAAATGGGTTTAATTGATGAATTAAGGTAACTGCAGATGTCTCTAAGAGGGTTGTTGCAGTAGTATATTAGTAGAAGTCTCATAGTGAGATATATATATTGAACAGTAGACAGAAAAAAAGAATAAAGACTACACGACACACTGGATCTCTCTCTGTTGATGATTCATAATCAGCTGGTGCCAAAATAGAACTGCAAATTATTCTATATGTCTCTCAGTAAGTTATTCAAAGAATTCTAAAATGAAAATAGAAGTCAATAT